AATAAAATACATAAGGTTTAACAGTTGGAGTTTCTTGGGCAGAGGGAAGCATTCTCACAGCTTAGCAGTTCTTTCTGCCTGAACTTTGAAATGGTTTCATTTATGACACAGCCTGTTTTCCAGCAAGAAGGCTTTCTCTGCTACAGGATTTGATAGTGCTATAGATTACACACTGGCTGCTCAATATAGTAGTACTCCTCAGAAATTCTGAATAGGACTTGTTAAAAGACAAGTGGTTACCACTTCCCTCCTGCTAGAGTAAATAGTCTTAAGGTAATCTGTTTTTCTGAGAAACTAAGGAGGCATGAAGGATTGTAAGCTTTCCAACATCAGCTTTGGATAGAGGACTTCTTTAAATCTTTTTTTCCCCTCTCTCTAATTTCAAGAGTCTTATCTAGCCACACCATTCCTTTGGGAAACCTGTTATCTTTTAAAAAAACAGAAATCTTACAGAAGAAGAGTTATCAGTTATTAAAGCCTTCCAGCTGTACATGTGACAAGTTTAAAACAAAACAAACCAAACATTTTAAGTTGGGTTAAACTCTGAGGATCATTCTACCCAAATGACATCTCAGTTACAGCAAATTTAAAGTTCACGTTGGAGATACCAATGCAAGAGGGCCAATGAAGCCTGATGCTTTTAGATGTGCTTTCCACCACAACCAAAGACTTACACCCTGTATGTTTAGCTTGCCTTGCAGAATTGAGAGCAGTTGCCTCCCTTCTCAAGGAGGTGTAATATCCTCACTGATTAAATTTAGTGCTTGATGAAATTACAGATGAGTAGAAAAGCATCAGCATCATACATAAATGCATCCAACTAGATAATTATATCCCAAAACTAAGATGGATAGTGGATTTCATGGAACTGGGAAATTATCACTGTACACAAACATGAGTGAATATTGAATCTTTTACCACATTTTGGCCCTTATACTTGGAGGAAAAGGGATACTGAAGGATCCATGATGGTTCAACATGGTAAATCACATACAACCTGAGAACTGAAGAAAGTTTTGGTTTTGTTTTTGAAGAGGAGGGCAAGAGGGTTTTGATCACTGTTTGGATCTGAACACAAGATTTCTGATCATATGGAGGGAGCATGTCCATCTACCATGAAACTAATAGTTAAATGTAGCTTCCAGGTTATTTGTTTTTGCTAATAATCTGTGATTAACAACTTGGGCACAGGCTGCAGTTAAGCTGAAATGCACAGAAGTAGGATTTAAAAACTTTGTTAGTTAATTTTGGAAGTACCTTGTATATGTTAGAATATAGAAGAGGCAAAGGTAGTTCTCTGAAAACAATGTGCATTTTCAATCAATTCAGTGGCTACGATTAACGTTTGTTTAATAGATGAGTTACTTCTGATCACCACATCTTGCAGGATTACTGAGTTCTGTGACAAGCCCTTACAACCCACTCTTAATTCAGCTTAGAACAGGAAAACAAGCTTTTGTGCTTTTATAGTTCTCAATTGTCTTCTCAGCTTTGGTTGAACTATTTGCCTAAAGAAAAACAAGAATTCAATTCCTATGCACTTGCAAAAATGGTCAGCCTTGATCAGAAGTTGGTTTGTCCTTTCAATAAACCATTGAAATTGCCTCAATCACTCTGCTAACTCTGTTTTCTTAAAACCACTAATAAGTGTTTGGTGTGCAAAAATGTATGAACTGACATAATTTAATAATTTTTAATAATTTATACCTTTATGTATTTCAGATATCATTTTAAGAAAAAATATTCAATACAGAATTGAAGAATTCATTTTTAACAATATTTCTCCATTGTGATACATTTAGAAAAACCTTAGATATATGGGTGATTTTTAACTCCCCTACAGTGCATCCAGGCAAGTAGAATATCTTTAGAGGGCAGCTACATAGTTTGCTTCCCAAGCAGTAAAAGATTTACTGTATCTTTTAAATTTAAATAAATACATATATTTAAAAGCATTACAAGCATATTTTAAGAGATAACTATACTTCCACCAGGAATGTTTTTTAACTTAACAAAAGGCAATTATTAGTTTATCTTCATTGTAGATGGGCAAACTAGAACATCCAGTTTTATTTTGTGCTTTTCAGAGGGCAAAGCATTGACATTTGGATTCCACCAGCAACAGGGAAATTTTAACAATGTATCTTTGTTGTTAGCTAGCCCTTCCACTGTTTTTTAGTTTAAATTCCAAAAGTAAAGAAAGTTGGCCCATGCCCTGCAAACATTAATTAATAAATATTTTAAATCAGTTTCAGTTATTTTATAGCTATATTATGGAAGTTTCACACAATGGGAGACTGGCATATAAAGAAAAACACTAGAAAAAGATCACAGTAATATTTGCAAAAAGCTTTTTTGATTGTAAATTAGTAAAAATTAACTGATTTGTGATGTTTTTCTATTGAAACAAATTATAGATGCCAGTCTTCCCTTCAGGGGGGGAAAAAAGAAAAGTCAAAAGGGATAGAATATCTCAGCAATACAGAACTGCTCAGGTCATCTCATCTACAAGATGATACACCAAACACAGCAGGGTAAGATTTTCCAGCTGTGAAAACCCATTCTGTTTCAGAAAAGTTATTCTGGAGTTGCATTCAAGTAGCTTATTCCTGCGTAGACAATGTCTCTTTTACAGCTTCAAAAGTGGCACTTACGAGACAGTCTCTGGTATATCCTCCGGTTTTTTGTAATTGCCTGCCCACAACAAAAATCTTTTCTCCCAGTCAGTAGGCTTGTGTCCAGGCACCCTTAAAGGAGACTGACCTAAAAAACCCCAAACAAACACAAAACACACAAACAAACAAAACCCAAAACCCCACCAAAAACAACAGTCAGAGAAGATGAATTGCCAGAGCTGTAATGAAACCAGTTAAGGTGAGCAATGCAGAATTTTAGGTACAATTGCTAGAGTTGGTTAGGGAACAAAAGGAATATCACATTCAGATTAACAAACCTGGAAATAGAGATTAAACTGAGGCCATGTAAGGAAAGCCAAATCTTGCCAAAGATCTCTGTATTTGTAGCTCTCAATGTGCGGAACCTGCTCCAGCATCTACGCTTCCTAAGCTGCTGTGATACTGTAGTTTTCCTATTACATTTAAATTAGTTTAAAAATAAAATAAATTGAATGAAACTGCTACAGAAAAGCCAATGTGCCGCACCATTGCATCACAGAATGTTAACTTTTCCAGGGAGTGTAAGATTTTATCTTATCTGGAGGTACAAACAAACAGATGACCATAGGCAAAGATTAGATCCTTAATTTTCAGCTCAGTCTTTCCAACTCCATATAAAAAGTATTCAGAATGTAATACAGGAAAGTTTCTGAACATACCATACTATAGAAAATCTAGCAAACAAAGGGCAAAGATAGACAACTTTCCCACCCCCTACCTCCTTTTTAAAACCAAACCAGAACAAAACACCAGCCCAACAATGGGAGGTATCCTGTATGGCTGTGTGCTGCCTCATGGATTCAGGAATTATCTAGGAAGCAGGGTGGACAGACAGTTTGCTGACAACGCCGAGTTATTCAGGAACATAAAGAAGAGGGCTGTGTGAAGAGCAGCAAGGCTTCAGAGCCCTGAGCCAATGAGATGGCCAGTGAAACGCTGTGTCTGTCAACAGGAAGCAATTGCAGTTCCCACACAGAACACAGACTCTAACCTGACCGTTATTGCTGAGGAATAAATCCTCAGGGTTCCACAGAGTTTTTGGCAAAACATTCAGTAACAGGCAGAAAGGGAAATAGCATTACCAGCAATGTTTAGGAACACAGACCAACACAAAAGTGTTGTCGTGCCATTGTATAAAACTGTGACTCCAGCATTTTGAAAAGTAGGCAGAATACTGATCCCTTATCTCAGAAACAGTTGAAATAGAATTTGTACAGAGAAAATTGGTTAAGGATGACCACAGGTATGGAATGGTGACCAGGTAAGAAACAGTATCATAGACTGAGACCTTTGGCCTGGAAAAGCAGTAACGGAAGCTCCCTTCAGCACAACAGAGAGCACCAGAACCGTAAGTGACATCGGGAATGTGGGCTGTAATCAACAGGTCCTGTTTTGGAAGGGCTACTAAATAAAGGCACATCAGATCAAAGACAGGATGCACCAGTTTCAAAAACAAATACAAGACTACTTGTTTTCTCACAGCATGGTTCAGCTGAGGAATTCCTTTTCAGAGAATGTGCATGCCACAAATACATCCAGCTTCAAGAGACTGGGCAAATTTATGAAAGAAAAATCCAGTGAGGACCATAGAACACCGAGATGCCACCTCTGGGACAGGAGTCTAGAGGAAAAACGCTACGTTTGCCCTGTTTCTGTACTCTTCCTTAGATCCTTGCTATTGGTCACCATTCCTATTAGTCCTGACAAAAACATAAGGGGCCTCCTTTACCAACCACCACTGGAGATGTGACACTGCTACGGAGAGCTTTGGTCCTACCCAGTACAGCTGTATTATGGTTTTTAACACAGAAGTACGCCAAGTGCTTCACATCTGTATGCGCCTTGTCAGCAGGCCATGAAGGGAACGTGTTATACAAGAAGTCTGATTAGAGCATCATAACTTCCTATATATAGTGAAAAAAATATTTTATAGCCTGAGCTTTACCTGACCAACTCAACCCTTAAACACGAACCAAGCCAACGATTCAGACTGGCTCTCTCCAGCAGGGCACTTCAGTTTTGTGAACAGCTGGAGCTGGTTGTGCTAAGAAAAACTGCAAAAGTATTTTAGCTCAAACAAGGTTCCTGAACATCGATGGTTTACACTGGGGGTGAATGGCTGGTTCCAGAGCACAGCTGCAGGACTGCAGATCAGATAAGATACTAGTGACCTGCTACAAAGTGAAAGCTGTGTTGTTGTCACAATAAGAAATATTAACGCCTGGCTTTGTTCAAAATCAAGATCTTGTTGCTAATTTCAATGCTTAGTTTTTCAGTCTAAAGATCAGAATTCCCTCTTACAAAATTAGGGATATGAGCATCTATGTCAGACAAATTCCTGTTCAGATGATTGCAGTGTGGATATCTAAGTATCTTGTGGCATGAAACACAGCATGGTTGTTATCAAAAACTCTTACTTCTTGGCTGAAGCTGACTTTCTTCCTGGGGTTTAATGCAAAGCCTTCTGCTTATCTTTGGATCTGCTCCTTTAGTCATCCTCAGAATTGAGGGAATGTTTCTTCCCAGCAGTTTAACAGCTCTGTCTGGAAGAAAAAGCAGAGGAAGCAAAGGGGCCAAATCTAACGCAGACTCATAGAAAGTGAGGAAACTAGCTTTTAAATGGAAGTGTTTGGGTTTCTTAAAAACACAACAGAAAAAAAGAAAGAAAAACAACAGGTACAAATCTAATATTGTGCAAGGAACACCAGATGTAGCTGTAACAGAGCCTACCAAAGAAATTAACTCTTGTCTATAAGCTATGACTTGAGTTTGCCCATCAACCTTATTTAGAGAAATGGGAATGCAAGAGTACAGCCTACAGGCAATTTCTAAAACACAATGCACATCATAATTTCAAGGAACTTATCTATTCACATGCTCCAGATATGCTTTGGACAGTGCTATATCAAGGACCACACGTTCTACCGATCTTGTCACATCCCAAGAGCAAGTCACAGATGTGACAGAGTAAAAAAAAAAGCCAAAAAGGCAGAATCTTGCCGTACTTGCCTACTTTGTAGTGTATTAGAAAAGGATAGGGTACCTTCCATGAAAACATGCTCACAAGGAGGAGCTTCTAATTAATTAATGAATATAATGAAAAAATTCTGAGGGAAAAAAACCCAAACAACCAAACCAACTTTGAAAGGCAAAAGGACACTTTTAAAAATATAAAATCAGTTCTTTTTTTTTTTCTTCTTTACGCTGCCCGCAAACACCTCTCCCATGAGGAGCAGCTGCCCTTTATTTTCCAGGTATAACACACTCCAGCTCGGGAAAAAATAATTAAAAATTACATTTATAGGCGACCCCCCAACGGAACCAAACCCTTTCCGAGACCTTCGGGGAAGGAAAAAAGGCAGAAACCCTTTTTCCTTCCCTTTTTTCCCCAGTCAGCTCGGGGGCCGCCGCCTTCAGGCGCTCAGGCCGGTCACACACGGAGGCCAACGCCGCGCCG